ACAAACTGGGCATTGTCATCTGGATGATGCTTTTAGTCATATGGGTCAGTGTTAGGTATTCCTGCAAGGAGCAGGGAGTTGGACTCGATGATCCTTATGGGTCCCTTCCAACTTGAGATATTCTATGATTCTATATTGCACCAGCCTACTTCCTCACAGCTAGCTGGTAGAAACAGCTGTAAACACAGGATGAATCACAGTCATCCATATCTATCAGCTCCCAACCATCCCTCTGATCCATCAGCAACGAAAGCTGCTGATTCTGTTGCAGGGACACAGTAGAAATGTATTGCACTCTCTAAGAGTGAAGCCAGTGCCCTTTCTTTATTTGGACTATATAAGAAATCTTTCCAGGAGATATTTTAAAAAAATGACTGTTCTCTGTGTCTCACTGTAAGATATATTAGCAACATTATTAGATTTCTGGATGTACTTCACAGATTGTCTTGGCGGAGATGGTTCTACTCAGAAATTAAGCCATCTTCAGTCTAGTCAACATGTCAGTCAATATTCATATTTCCTGTTCTCCAAGTTCCAAAAACAGACAGAAAATATCAAATGCATGCCAGAAGGCCAGATTACTTTTCATGTGGTTTTCTTCTCTGTAATTGCCTCAGATATATCTGAAAGGACAAAACAGTCTTGTTCTATGTGATACAGAGCTTCAAACACATATACTTGAAAAAATATCTTTTCTCCAGCATCCTTTGGCCTCCCATCATTTGTCCAGCTGTCAGTCACTGTTGTAGCAACATAAGCTGATGAGTTTCACCAGTTTCCTGCCCACCATCTCACAGATGGATTTCATGGTGAAGCTGGATATGGTCTTTCACGTAACTGTGACCTTTCACAAAATATGCTGGTTGCAGCCAGCTTTGCATTTAGGATGATGGTGACATTACTGATAATGTACTGATTCGTTGTATCCATTACATTCTTCATCTTCTATCCATCTGCTCAAGCGGAAGCTAATCTATTTCAGCCAGTTTTAGTTACACGTCACCATTGCTTAGTTTGGATACTGTGTATGAAAACATTTCTTGGCAGTTGTTTCTCTGGCACCCTGCAATGCCATCCCTCTTCTGGAACCCTTCTATCAGGAGCCTGCTTTGACAGGAGAAAGGTAGGGGATAGGCAGCGTTACAGTCAGTTCCCCAGCACATCAGGTAGTTTTGTAGGATGTAGGTACCAGAGGATGTCAAACCATTCTGAATGCCTTCAGTCATAAGCAACAGTTAAGTATGACAACTTTAGTCACAGTAACGCTGCCTAATCAAAACAGGGATTAATGTATCGCTCTCAATGATTAAGATGCCTGCTTATTTATATATACAAAATGTTTTCATAGATAAATATTTTATAGTGGCTTTTCCACTACAAAGTCCTTACATACAGGATTTCTCCATAGTACGGAAAATCCTCATCAATGTTTTGGAAATAATAAGAATGTGCACAATAGAAAACAGAATCTGTGTTTCCTGACCTAGACAACTGCCTGATTAAAGGGACTTTCAAAGGACCAAATCTCCCAATGTGTATCATTTGCAACTGTTGGACTCCTTGACTCTGAGGAGAAGAGGCATGGATAACAGAATGCTGGTCAGACAATTTCAGGTATCCTTCCTTCTAAAGTTAGTCAATATATATGAGATCTGACTCTTCAGCTGAAGTCATGCATAGGTGACTGTCACTCTTGTGGCCAGACAAACCCTTCAGGCATGTCTGGATCCATGTTAATCTTCTTTCCTTCATATGAATCATTTGTGATAAGGAAATGTAGACAAGATTAAATTTCTATTAGAGAGATGTATAACTGGTTGGAAAGCTGTTCTCAAGAAACAGTTAATTATGCTTCACTGTCAGACTGGATGCATTTAACCATGTTCTCCAGGGACTATACAATATTTAATTCATGATTTAAAAGATGGAATTAGCATTTAATACTAGTGATACTACCTGGAAAAATACTACAAGATAGAATTATGATCTTAAGAAATTATTTTAAGAATTTGGTTCAAAGAATGACATGTAATGACAATAAAGATGAATTCTAACTTACATGTTTATATAGAAGTAATCTTTTGCTTAAGCACAAGTAAGGAAGGACTGACTAAGCAGCAGTTCTGAACTGGAGACTGAAGTGACCTGTGTCACTTGGGGCCGTACCTACACCTGTGGGCATAGGAGCCCCAGTTCAGCTCAGCCCTGGGTGCTTAGTCCATGCTTGCACTACACTGTATGGGTACAATCTTCAGCTCAGCTACAGCCATGCCTGTATGTTAACTGCAGACATTGATCCAGACACTAACTCACAGACTGGCTTCCCAGTCTAACCTCGGGCCTGTCTCATCACTATGGACCTGCCTGGAGATCAGTGGGCTGTGTTTTATTGTGGTCACTCTCACTGAACCTAATCCCAACCTGTAGATTGACATCCTAGCTTGACCTCGGATCTGCCTCATCACCATGATGTCACCTGATGATCTGCGCTCTTGGTTGAACAAGTCTCAGGTCTGCCTGCTCCCCTCACTGGGGCACTGTGGGGCTGGGCCCTGGCTGATGTTATTGCACTTAGCTCGTGGCTGCCCTTCGCTCAGGGAGCAACCAGCCTTTGCTGCACCCTGACACAGTCTGTAATGCAGGACCTTGCAGCCCTCTGCCATGTCGGTTCTGGTATGTCCCGTCTCATGCCACAGCTGCTGGATAGGTCTTCTCACTAGAAGAATTGTGCTTTTCCTTTGGGAGCAAAGTTCTTGTCAACAGTACAAAGAGCAGCAAGAGATGCACCAAAGTGGCAGGTCAGGCTGTGAGGCCGATGTTGTCAGATCTGCCAGGCTGGCTCCTACCAGGTGCCACTTGCAGTCATCCTGGACTGTTTGCTGGTTCTAAAGGAGTTCATTTCCAGTTCTGGTGAGGTTCTTTCCTTGTCAACTCTTCTGCTTTCTCTGTCTAACATATATATATATATGTGTATATGTATATATACACACATAAATATTTACATATATCACCAGCTGTGCAAGTTCCCAGGGGGATGGTTAAACCATTACTCCTACACGTAATCTTCAAGTGTCCACTGACTGAATCAAGTGATTTGCTTATGCCTCAGACCTAGGTGTCCTGGACTAGTCTTTGGAAGTGTTTTTCCTAGTTACCACTTCATCCAGGGAGCCAGATGACAGCCGAACCCTTTTTGGATCCAAATGACTTCCTTCAAGAAAATTTGTCACTGCACACCTGTCATAAGCTTCTCCTGAACATGGTTTTGGTCTCTTTGTCTTATCTAGAGGACTGACATACTTCCATTCTTTCTTGAAGGAAGAAGTTTCTAGAGACAGGGCGTCTTCGGACTTTTGTTGTTAAGAGGCCTTTGACTTTTTACCTCCACAGGACTAGGTGTTTCAGATCCAGAGTTGTTTGTGTCAGCAGCTGAGAGGCTGAAAGTCAGGAGTGCCAAGCAGGATAACCACCAGTGAAACCTGTTATGAAAACACCAAAAAGGAGCCACCCTCCAAGATTAGTACATATTCCATCGGAGCTCAGTCTAAATTAGTGGCTTTCTGAGTGTTATCTCCATTGCTGACATCTGCTGAA